TTTTTTTTTTTTTTTAAAAAAAGACTGCTTCTATTTGAAAACCAGTCTGCAAAATAAATCCTAGGATAAGGGGCATAGCCATCAAGATTCATTTATTTTAGTTTAGTTTTTTACCTAAGGGGACCAACTTCCCACTGAGTATGGGGAGACAAGGACCATTTTGATGTTAAGATCCTTGGAGTACTTTAAAATATCTGGAATCATTTTTTTAGCCCTTCTAAAAAAAAAAAGCTTTAAAGCCCTATAACGGCAGGAATTAAAAAGTATATATCTGTCACAGGCTTAAGGCAGGGCTAGGTCCACAGTAAGAACTTGGAGGGGGGTGGCTAGCTTATTACATGAATGAGCAAATGGAAATTGCTCCTTGACCTTGGTGATTTTCTATTCGGGAACCAAAGGAAGGAACTTGCAGAGAAGAGAAAAGAAATCAAAGTGCACTCACATCAGCGCAGCTATGACTAGAAGTAGCAGAGGGCGGGGCTCAGTCACTTAAGTGTCCGACTCATGATTTTGGCTCAGGTAGTGAGATGGATTCACAAGTCAGGCTGCGTGCCCCGCGGGGAGCCTGCTTGGGATTCTCTCTCTCCCTCTGCCCCTCCCTCCGCTTGTGTTCTCACTCTTGCACTCTCAAATAAATAAATAAATCTTAAAAAAAAAAAAAAAGAAGTAGCAGATGGTACCTTCCTACTGGGGGATTGTGTAGCTGCCAGTTCACCAAACTGGGGAGTCCCCAGTGCCCTTGATCCCTTGATTTCCCAGCCCTTCCCCACCTCAGGCTCATATACCTAAGGAAACTACACATACCTCTTCTTCCAGCTTGACCACCTTGGCCTGGGCATTGCTCAGGGCCTGGTCTCGGATTTCGATGTGTCGCCGTTGGTCCTCATTGGTAGAACGGGCAGTGGCCAGCTCGGCCTCCAGCTTCTCCTTCTCCCTCTGGCTTTCCTTATCTATCAAGACATGAATCATCATTACTGCCATTCTGGGGCTGGCTCAAAACCTTACCTGGGTAAAACTGACAATCATACCCATTATTAAACATTGTCTAACACACAGCCAAAAGAACCAGCACACCCAAGATCTGGACTCTCTCGCTGGCTCTGCCACCAACTTGCTATGTAAATTCAGAAAAGTCACTTAACAATGGTTGTTGTGCAGAAGCAATGTGAAAGTAGATGTAAAGAGTGTGATGAAAAGTATGATGCAAAGAATACACACACATCAGAAGAACAGGTAGGTTTGTCTCTTCAATTTTATTTCTTCAAGTGGTTTTGTATTCACAAAAGAGCCACTGAGTCCCCCAGAGTTTACCCTCTTATCTTGTGACAGTATATTAAATCAATCTAAAAATGGTATTTCACAGAATGTATAAAACTCAAAATCCTATTCTTTACTAACATTATTTTCCAACTGAAATAAGTCCAGGATTGCACTGTAGGTACAGAAGACCAAGACACGTGTAATCATCCCCTCGGCCTTTCTAGGACCCTCCCCTTTTACCTAGGACAGCCCTCATGCCAGAAACTCAAAGGAGCAGTTCTGATTCTCATTTGGAGGTAGAGTGCCCTTCCTCTGGAGACCATGATACTTAAGTTTGTAAGAGAAACTTTAATAGGGCAGCCTCGCCTTCCTTCCCACTCTGATGTTACTTATCTATTCAGCTGTACCTTGGAAAAGAAATGAGCATCTGTCGAATACTTATTGCCTACCAAGTATTGTGCTAACTTAGTCCTCAGAAGGACTCCCCTGCAAGGAAAAGTGTTATTCTCTTCTCCATTTTGTATATGAAAAGACAGAGACCCAGAGGGCTTGAGTAACTTGTACGAGGTCTCACAATTAGTAAATGAGTACACGGCGGAGCCCATACTTAAGGCCAGGCTGTTCTAAACTCCTTCTAACCAGACTGCCTTCTCCTAGGGTTGCGTTAGGTTTGGCCTCTCGAGGGTAAGTGGAACACATTCCCCAGGGAGGCTTTTCAAGAGGGCTTTCTTGCCGCTTGCCACAGTTCCAACCACGCAGCACCCTGTCGATGTCCAAAGGCAAAAAGAACTAAGAGGCCACAAATCATGCCCTCGCCTCTGCTTGCTGAGTGGAGTCCATTTTTCCCTTCTAGAACCATGAGACAGCCTTTCCCCCTGCTGTTAATACACTTTTTATCTATTAAGTTCCCACATTTTATAAACCAGTAGCCGAGCTCCCAGGACCCCTGAAATACCATCGCCACATAGGGAGGAAGGAGTATGAACTAGCAGATCCGGGGCAAGAACCCATACATTTTCTCTTTTGTTTTGGGGGGCCACCACCTTCTCCACCAGGGAACCTACTTCCAGGGTCACCGTGACACCCCAAAAGCAACAATTTACACCAGGTACTGAGGACACCAGAACAACTGCATTCTTCCCTCTGAGACAGACTGACAAAGGAACAGGAGGCTCAGGGAAATGAGGAAGAAAAAAAGCCCCACTTCTAAGGCCAGTGCACAACAGAGCAACCCAGGGAGGGAGGGGGATATTGTAAGTGAAGATCAAACAAACTTGTAAAAGCTGACTGGAAGCTGCATGGAATGACTTGAAAGAGGCATGTGGAGGCCCCGTGAAGATGGGGCCTGACAAGTCCCCACCGTGCGCTACTCCAGCTGGGAGCCACAGGGAGGGGGGCAGGGGGTAGGCAGCACCAATCACGGGCATCTGCAGAGTGAGGGTAGTTCATCTGTTTCCCCCTATGGGCTCAACCCACTGCAGAGTTTTTATTGCTGGTTTTATTGTGGCAATTGGAAAGAATGAGGCATTGTCTAGCTGGGTGGAGTCTATTAGGGACCGATAAAGAAGAGGATTAGTTCATTGTCACGGTCCTCGGAGTATTTCCAGACAAAGGAAACACTATTATGAGGAAGATGTAGTTCTGCCCTCCCCCACATCCTCCAACTCTGTGACCAGAGTCAGTAGCTCAGGCCATGGCAGTGGTCCTCCTCTAGCTCCCTTTGCCCTCAGCCAATATGGAATGATATGATGTAATACGGGGTGTTTAACTAAGGGAGCCACAGGTGCCGATTAGGTATTCCAAACGCTAATCATCGATTTCGCATGTTAATCCTGTCTCTACCACAGCCAGCCCATGGAGCCTTCAACAATAAATCCCTCCAACATGCAGAGACCCCATGTTCACTAAGGTCCTTTTCAGCTAGCCGTGACAAAAGCAGGGATTTTGAGGGGCTTCTCTGGTCTAATACAGAAGGAGCCATGTTGATGTGGCTAAATGTGGCAAGCAGCCTTCGTGGCCTCGAAGGAAAAAAGAACAAGAATCCCAATTTTATGCTTGAACAGGAAAAAGAATCCCTAGATGGCATTTGCTCTGTCCCAGCTATTCTAGAAGGATATGCAGAACTGTGTAACCTTTTTACACATTTGGCTCCCAACCACACATTAATACCTGCTGCCGGAGCTTTCAGACTTACTTTTTGCAAAGAGCTGAGAGATGGTTTTTCTGGTATCCTCTGATCCCTCATATTCCTTCTCCGCAAGCTGCTTGTTGGCAGTCTCTAGACGCTCTGTGGAATTCAGAGACAATCAACAGGGCCTCATATACAAACTTCCAAGCCCATGGTGTTTGCCCTCTAAATACTGATCTTGGGCAAAACAAGCCTGCTTCTTCTTGTTACTCAGGAATAGGTGACACAGACATAGATTTACAAATGTGGAGCCCCAAACAAAACTAAACCATGGTTGGGAAGGAGGAGGTGAGCACTTAACACTTTCACCCCTCCCTGACAAAACCGAAGTGCCAAATTCTTAATTCCGATGAAGGAATCTATCCCTGAATATATGACATCTTTCATTTGCCAGGAAAAAGAGCATCAAAGTTATTATGAAGTCTTTAAAATCATGTAACATCAAAGCTAGAAGGGGACCATGGGCAGTGTCTAGTTCAGTTGTCTCATTTTATCAGTAAGACAATCTAAGTCCAAAGACAGAAAATAAGATCCCCAAGGTCATCAGTTTTGAAGGTGTTGAAGGTGGTCATTTCTCCCCATCTTCAGTGTTATCGTGTTAAGGTAAAAATAAAAGGAGGGAGTCCCAGAAACAATGGAGGACATCACTATCTCAAGCTTGCACAGCCCAAAGACAGACCTCTGCAAAACCTATAAAGGAGAAAGGCAGCATGGATTGTGGGGCAGGCCAGGCGGGTCCAGGAGTCCCGGGGGGGATACTGTCTGATTAACACCTGAGCTCATCCCACTCTGATTAAGCAAGCTTGGGACCAAGTTCTGTTGCAGTCCCCAAAACCTAGCTCGGTCTATGCCCTGCAATTTACTGGCCATACTAGTGGGCTGGACAAGCCCTGAGAGCCTCAATGTATACTCCTCAGCCCTTCCCTTCGCCATCTTGGCCAATGCTTCAGAAGTGACTCCCTCACCTCTCAGATCCCTGTTGAAGTCATGCATCCTTCGAATTTCACCCTCAAGCTTGTTTCTCATGGCTTTCTCCAGGGCCTCTCTTTTGGAGGATGATTTTACAAGGTTCTCATATGCCTCTGAGACACGCTGGATTTCTGTCTCCACCTGAAAAAAAAAAAAAAAAGAGGAAAGATAGTGGGGATGGTAGGAGCTTAATGGGATAGATGGTCTGAAAGCATATATGCAAATCCTTAGTGACAGCTTCTCCCAGGGCTTTACAGATGGCTAGGAGGCCAGCATAACACAGTCAGATAAGAAAAGTTTCCCAGAAGGATTTCTTAAAAAAAAAAAAAAAAAGATTTATTTATTTGAGAGAGAGATCTGGAGTGCATGGGCAGGGTCGGGGGAGGGGCAGAGGGAGAGGGAGAATAAATCTCAAGGAGACTCTGCACTGAACACGGAGCCCTACATGGGGCTCAATCCCAGAACCCTGAGATCACGACCTGAGCCGAAACCAAGAGTCGGACGCTTAACCGACTGAACCCCCAAGTGCCCCCCAGAAGGATTTCTAAAGTCAACGTTCAGCTCAGCAACTAATTCACAGGGTCATGAGATTCCCTCAGGTTAAAAACAAATACAGTTTCTGCCTTCAGAGAAGGTGGTAGGAGAGAATAAATTTCATAAGTATAGTTATAAATGATTTTCATTTCTGTGTAAGAATTTTCTTAATTTTGGCGTGCCTGGGTGGCTCAGTCATTGGGCATCTGCCTTCGGCTCAGGTCATGATCCTAGAGTCCTGGGATCGAGCCCTGCATCAGGTTCCCTGCTCTGCGGGAGGCCTGCTTCTCCCTCTCCCACTCCCCTGCTTGTGTTCCCTCTCTTGCTGTGTCTCTCTCTGTCAAATGGATAAATAAAATCTTTTTTTAAAAAAAGAATTTTCTTAATTTTGAAAGTACTATTGACACTGTATATAGTATGTAGATAACATTATTTCAGAGAGTCCAAAGGACTTTCACATGTTTATTTCTATTTGCGCTGCTATCCACCTTTACAAGGACACCTCTCCCCCGTCGTAGCAGAGGGAAAAGTGAAATTGACCTTTCTGAGATCAAGTCAGTGGCAGAGTCGAATCCTAAAAACTCTAAGCCTCAGCCCTTATGCAGTAGTTCAATTCACTCTAACAAACGTTCACCATGGGCCAAATAGTCACAGAGCTCTTTAAAATGTTCACAATAGCCAAACTATGGAAAGAGCCTAGATGTCCATCAACAGATGAATGGAGAAAGAAGATGTGGTAGATATATGTACAATGGAATATTATGCAGCCATCAAAAAATGAAATCTTGCCATTTGCAAGGATGTGGATGGAACTAGAAGGTATTATGCTAAGCGAAATAAGTCAATCAGAGAACGACAAGTATCCTATGATCTCACTGATATGAGGAATTAGAGAAATAAGACAGAGGATCATAGAGGAAGGGAGGGAAAAATGAAACAAGACGAAACCAGAGAGGGAGACAAACCATAAGAGACTCTTAATCTCAGGAAACAAACTGAGGGTTGCTGGAGTGGAGGCGGGTTGGAGGGATGGGGTGGCTGGGTGATGGACATTGGGGAGGGTAAGTACTATCGTGAGCGCTGTGAACTGTGTAAGACTGATGAATCACAGACCTGTACCCCTGAAACAAATAATACATTATATGTTCATAAAAAAAATTTTAAAAAAAGATAATCAGAAAAAAAAAAAGGAAAATAAAAGTAAAAAATAAAATACCCGTGGGGTGTGTAGGTATGAATGAGGACATTATTGTTTCCCTTCAAGGAGCTTTCGATGTAATCAAATAAAAGAATAAAGAGAAGGATGCCTTATTCAGAGCAGTAGAAGTAAGTGCTACAAAAGCGCAGGAAAGGAAAAGGTTATTCCTGATTGGGGTGAAGGGAGAGGAGACCAATTTCAGGCAGGCGGTGGCATATCAAGTCAGATCCTAAAAGCTAGGTCAGATTTCAATGAGCAGAGGTGAGGGGAAGGGTGTTCTATTCTGAGTGAGTGAATGCATTCCCAGAATGACCAGTAGTCTCATTTGGCTGGACACTGTGGGGTACACGGAGGGAAGCTGGTGAGATCTGGCTGTAAAGATAGACTGGAGTCAGATCATAAAAGGGCTTAAATGCCAGGTATTTGGACTTTATCCCGTAGTCAGTGGGAAACCAGTACAGATTTTTGAACAGAAATTCATGATCGGAGTTATGTTTTATGACACCACTGCAAATCTTGTAAAATGGGGGGAAAAAAAAGAAACCATACACACAAAACCTCAAAGAGAAAGGGTCTTGCCCCAAATCAGCGCAAATCGGGAAGAAACTAAGAAATTAGACTCCAGAGTCTTTCTGTAACCAGTAGAGCTTCATTGCACATGAAATAACCACAGAGATATTTGCATATAATTTGTATAAGATAAATAAACCCCGTGGCCTATGAGGCAATTTGCAAATTAAATTTGACTCCTGCAACCATTCTGCATTCCTTCTCAGTTTCCCACTATCCTCCTTAACAAAGCTTAGGGTATTTTATGGGGAGAAATATCAGGTCCCCAGTGGGATACTGGGGGAAAGGTGGGGTTACCAAACAACTCAGATTCCACTTGCCCCAGCTCCAAAATTATGCCCGAGGCAGGACTGCCTGCAAACAAATGAGGCTTACACCACAGAAAAGAGCAGGCTCCAGAATGTTTTTCTCCTCGCAGATGGCACCAAGATAGCAGCACAGAAGGTGAAAACTGGTGGTGAATGGCATTTAGAGACAAGATCTGCAAGGCCTGGGCCTGATCAAGCTTTTGCATGAAATTCAAGTGCGGGGTACAGAAAATAAACATTTCCATTTGAAAGAGCAGGCTTGGTCTTAGTCTGCACTGGGCAGCCTTTAGAGGGCAAGGCTTTCCAGTTCCCCACAGAATGCCACACCTGGAAGGCAGGCCCTTTACTCACGTTGTTCAGAGTACTATTTCGAGATCTGGTACCAATCTTTCTCTTCCCCCCCTCCCCCTGCCTTGCCCCGTGTAGATACTCCAAATGGGCGAGTTTTACATCCGTCAACAGGACCTTCCAGGAAAGAAGTCACAGAAGGGCAGACCCACTGGTTTGGTTGGGGATGGTGAGGGCAAGGAAGAGGGAGGTGGTGGTGGGTTTCTGTCTCATTATTTCCCTCATGAGCCTCGGGCCTCTGTATTTTTTTCTAGCACCAGCTGATATCTCCCATACTCTTCCCACTTTCCTTTTCCTCTTCTACCCCACTTAGGCTTCTAATCCACTGCAGCATCGGGTCAGCCTTCACTTCCCCCAGCACTCAATTACACTTGGTTGAGGCATCTTGCCCCTCGCTGGGGAAAAAGCAAACAACAATGCCACAAATCCTATTTGGCTCCTCTTCCCTGTCACCCACCTTCCCGATTACTGCATCAAAGGTGGGGCCGGGGCCACCCTGAATAGAGAGTTTGGGGAGGGGTGTCAACAGTTAAACTCAATCAGCCAAACAGGGCCAGTCTGCTTTTAGTGCGTGAATAGGATTAATTTGTTGCACCGATATGATTTGGGGGGGCGGGGGTTGGCGTATAGTTAAATGAGAGGAGGCAGAAAATGGAAAATTGGGGGCAAAGCCAGGGAGAAACAGTTCTCACTGAACCCCAACAAACCCCACCCAGATTTTGGGACACTGTGAGGGGGGTGTTTCTGTTACATAAAAATACTCAGCTGACAGTAAGCCCTCCTCTACTTTAGGACCCAGATCTGGTGTTTACAAATTCTCAGTTTCATTCAGGCCCCTAAAATTTCCACTCCTGGGTGTCTCCTAAGGACAGAGTTGCTGAACAAAACCGGGCAATGTCCCCTCCCTCCCACACCTTCACCCTCACCTCCCCGAACAGTTCACACTGTCGGGAGATCAAACCACATGAGCTCCACAATGACAAAAGCTGCAAAGAGGCTGCCAAAGGTATAACCCTATTCACCGACAGCTGCTGGAAGCCAAGAGCTAAGGTTCTTAGCTTAGGGCACTTGAGAGCTAAAGTCCCAGCTGGAGGAGACAGGAGGGGCCCAGGGAAGAATGTGAACTCTATGGGACATACACTGCTTTTTCTACTTCCTCAGCCTAGGGCTGTCACCTGTCACCCAGCTGTGGTGCTAAGCCCCTCCTGCCCCCCCTTCCCCAACACACACACCAGAGAAAGCCAGCAGATGTTGAATGTGAGCTGCAGGGAAAAGCCAAAGCAAAGAGGAGGCAAAGGACGAGGTGTTGAAAAAGAGTTCCTATGAGAACTCCCACTCGGAAAAGTGTTCTAAGCCCCTTCCAGAATGAGGCAGGGCACGATCTAACTTCAGTGGTGAGATGTTTGTGGGAATTATGGTTTTACATTTAAGATCCAAATCCAGTTATTTGGGAAAATACACTCAAGACACAAGGTCTTTAGGCATATACAGGCATCTCCAGTGTTCTTGACGTTATGAGGAAGTTTCTCGGCCTTCCAGAATTCGAAAACAATCAATTAAGTTTTCATTAGGGCTACGGTATCTGGGAAAACTGTACGAATATGTTGTTTTCTCCCCACATAAGTGTCAAATGTGACTCCTCCTAGAAAGACAGGCAGAAGGCTTTTTGCAAAGTTGGGTCCATATCTACCCTTCAGATACGAGAATCTAGAAGGCCCGCACCTAACACATGAGGAGATCGAAGGAAGACTCGGCTACCCTGAAACGGACGCCTCACCTTCTGCAGTCTCGCCACCTTCTCGTAGCATCCTTCCAGTTCCTGCCGCAAGTTCCGGTTCTCATCCGACAGGATCTCAACCATCTGCTGGGCTCTGGAAACAATGGCAAACGGGTCCGCTGGCATTGGCTGATAGGAAGCGGAGGACTGCTGAGCCCGGGGCATAGCTGAATAGGCTTCACCCGGCTGGGGCTGCTGGTGGTGGTGATGGTGATGCGGCTGCGGCGGGCTCAGGCCGGGCTGAGGTGGCCGGTAATGATCGCTCTGGTGAGCCGGGGTCGGGAGGAAATGCTGCTGCGGCCTAGGCAGGTGAGCTGAGTGGTCTCCTTGGCTTGGCACCAGGGGGTGTTGGGCAGGAGACAATCTCGTGGCTGGCGGAGACTGCAGCAAGGACAAGGAACCCCCAGACGTGAGGGAAGAAGTAGGACTGTGAGGCCGTGAGCTCCGGGCCGACAGTGGCAATGAGATGTCCTGCGCTGGCCTGGAAAACATGGTTTACACGCTCAGGTTAAGCTTTCTCCCACGGCACTGGGGCACAAGGGCGCGAGAAAGTGAGATGAGGGGCCTTCCGGTGCCCCCTCCCTCAAGGAGACCCACAAACTGAGCAGCAGGCAGGGTTAGACCCAGAAATCTCGGCACAGAGCTCCACAGCCCTTTCCAGGCCTGACCTGTGAGTGCCTGACGGAGGTGTGATCCCATGGAGGACGGAACCAGGTGACCTCCAGGGTCGCTTGGTGAAAATCTAAGTGACGTGTACCTGTGCTCTTCTTGCTCAAATGTAAGCATTTTAAGTGAGTCTTCCAGAAGGTAATTTTCATGTCATTATTTTAAACGAAACCTTCTCTGACATTCTCTATGTGGTCAGCACATGTAAAGAGTCAAATTCAGAAAATGTGTTCCACTTGCCCACAAGGAAATGGCAAACTGCAGTCAAAATCAGTCCTCTTCTCGCTATTGGCAACTCTCTTAATGCCTATAGTCACAAAACATTACTGGAGGATGTGTAGATCCTTATTATGTTAGAGACACCAAATCATCATTGTTGATACAGTTAATAACTGAATGAGGCCCATTAGCAGCGATGATACCAAGGTTTGGAGGGGATGACAGGCAACACTGTCATACTATTTTTGATGAACTGAATCACAAAATGTAAGGACTGGAAAAGCCTTCAAGAAATAATTTAATCCGCTCTGTCACTGGACAGACGGGGAAACTGAAGTCCAAGAGAGAGGAAGCAATCTGTCAGATATTACAGAATGACTTACTGGTAGTGCCAGGGTAGAACCCCTATGTCCAAATTCCCTTTTTCTGCTCCTTCCACTACCATAATACATTGACTTCCACACAATGATGTTCAGATCCCAGATCGATTTCTTATAGAAAGTTCCACAAAGAGAACTTCGGTACATGGTTTAATGTGGCTCTCCCATTTTTGTACCTACGACCGGACTGTTAGCCATTAAGGGAAATAAGGACAGTATGTAAATGGATCACTTCCACCATCTCCACTACCAGCAAGAATATCTGTAAGTATACACTGAAGATGAAAAGCTTGTTCATCCCCCAGCCCATGCCCAACTAACCTCATATACTCCCACATCCTGTGGATGCTTGTCCTACAGTTGATATGTCTCAATCCAGGGAAGACAGATGGCTAAGAGCATGGGATTTGGATCCCAACAGAATTTGGAGACCTTTTCTACTGCCTACTGGCTGTGTAACCTTGCTCATGTTACTTAATCTGCATGAGCCTGTTTTGTTCCTGAGGTCACAAATGAATTACAAAAATACTGGGCTCTTCTCATTTTTGAGCTCGACAGTAATTACAAAGAGTCTCTTATCTACCTCCCAGTGAGATAGGTTGACCCTGTTAGGGATTTTACTTATGGGATATCCATTTAATCTTTGCACTAAATTGCATAAAATTCATGCTGGAACTGGGACAAATCACTAGGAGCAATTAACTTTTAACTGGCATTCCAGATGCTAAAGCACATCCCTCCCACATACATTTCAGTTATCATTATTGTTCACGTATCTATCCCTACAAGAGATCCTCACTGTAAGGGCTTTTTTATGGCTGCAAAGTCATTCCAAACACTTGCTAATGGATACCCAATAACCCAGATGCTTGCCAGAGCCCTCAAACCTGCTCAAGCCCTGGGTTCTGTATCTCAGCCCCATCGATGCTCTTGTTGTACTGACGTTCTTCCAATTCCATACATACGGCACTATCAGTAATTGCTGAATACTGAAGAGGGAATGCAACCTATTTGTGGACAGAAGAATTTACATGGTTCCCATTATTACACCTGGAAAGTTGCTACCGTACATTACCTTTCTTTGGAAATGCTCAAAACACTCGTCCTATCAAAAGCCTTGGAGCTATTTATAAATTTATTTGGGGAAGAGTCTTTCCCCTTTTCTGTACCATGGATCTTCGGGCTCCTTAGGGGTAAAATGGACTCTGTGCACTCCCTCTTCTTTGAGTAAGAGCTATTATAATTTTATACATCCCTAGAGTTAAAATATTATGTACTGGGATTTGTTAGGGCTTTTGGATCTCCTGGGCAGAAGAGAGGGGCTTAAATTTCATGTTCTCCAATCCAGCTCTCATAATTTAAGGGAAAAATGACAAAATTAATCTTCATCCTTGTTGCCAGGATTTGGAAACCCCAGGCCTGGGAGGCGTTCTCTTTTAAAGACTGAATGCCCAGTTCGGAAGTGGGCTTCCTCCCCCCAGCTCCTCTGGGCCCCATCGGCAGTCCAGGCCTCTTTCTCAAACAGACCGGCCACTGGCCTCCCTCCTGCCTGGAGGCTGAAAGGCCCCTCCATGCCCTGGACAGTACATGGCCTCCCAGGGGCCTCGGGAAGGAGGAGACCACAAGGTCTCCGGAAAGAGGTCTCTGGAGTCAGATAAGCCCAGGACAGCAACGGCTCTGGCCTTGACTCTGAGCTCTACTTAGAAATAACGGAGACAAGGTAGCTGCCCCTCTCAGGCTCCCCAGGCTGGAAAAGGAAGCAGATTTCAGTGCACCATGATGTTGGGAAAACCAAGGCAGTCCGTCCCTGGCAGGTTTGCAAACATGAAGCAAGGCTTGGGCAGTCACAAAAGGAGAGAAAGCCCTCCAGCCAACGAACTCCATCTGGGCTCCAGCATCCACCCACCACAAAAAAAAACAGGACTGTATTAACACTCCGGTGAAGTTCCCCCTGAGAGAAGGGGACTGAGGCATGACAGGGATGGGGAAGAGGCCGGGGGAGGGGGGGATGTCAGAGGAAGCAAAAGTACATTCAGGATGAAATAACAAGAGTAATAGTAAGGACCGTAATAATACAGGTGGCAGCTGGGCCAGCACACTCCCCAAGTGCTTCTAAGGCACAGCAGTGTGAATGGCTTCCCGCTGACATATTAACCAGGAACAACAAGTTGCCGGCAGACAATAGAATCACATGATCCCGTGGAAGCCCTGACCTGCCTCCCTACCCCTTCCCTCCCTTCATCCAGCTCTCTCCTAAGACAACCTGGGCCCCTGGGGCTCGGTGGAAAAGGGGAGGACGAGGCATACACACAGGGCAGAGACCAGTGACCAAAATCAGCATCCTTCCCCAAAGCCAGGGTGGGGGTGGGGGGGGACTCCTTCCCGAAGACGGCTTCTGAGGACACAAAGGGAAAGCAAAAGCCTGTCCATGGAGCTGACACAGCACCTTCCACCCTGCCACCTCACTGGGAGCCCCCGCCCTCCTCAGTCACATACACACACACACACACACACACACACACACACACATGCCTCCTCCCCACACACCCACACACCACACCACTCCTAGCCCACACGTGTGCAAACCCACACATGCTCACTCTCACCAGAGCAGGTGCCACCAACAGCCTGGAACCCAATTTATTCTCCCCACAGAAACTGCCTTTCCCAGGCTCTGTGACGGTGGATCTGTGAATCCTGGAGGGGCCTGCAGATTCTTGATTGTTTCTCTTGCACAACCAGCTCTGCTCTGAACTACAGCGTTAGGTCACCCTTAGATTCCACTAAACAAGGATTTCAAGAAACCTCAGATCTGGGCATGATTTCAACAATTGAAAGGAGGTGGCTGCTTCACAAACAGAAAGGTTTTCATTTTTAAAAAAGCACTTGATAAATGTGTAAACCCCAGACGCAGAAAAGGCTCAGCACTTAGAAAGACAAAGATTCAGAAATTTTTTAATTCTTCAGATGGCTTGGCCTTGTTTCCCATCTGGAGTTCTGGGCATGCGGGATATTTATTTTTCAAGTGGGGAGGAGGGCACAGGGAAGATGAAGTAATAAAAAAAATTGTTTATAACATTTTGTTAATTCGAACAGCCAATCTCTAGCCTTTCACTGCACCTCTAAAAGCAAACAAAGGTTTTCTGAACAGCAATTTGTTCAAAGAGCTTGCTGTTCATTCTTGATCTGTAATTTATGGATTAAGAACTAAGAATTTTGTCATCTAATTGGTGCTAGCAGCAGTTACTTGGAAAGGTACTCACAAAGTGTCTAGCAAGTTGGTTCAAGGAAATAAAGGAGGAAAAATGTGTCACCACCTAAAAGCAGTCCATTTCTGGAAAGCGGTTCGACTACCTCCCCTTGCCAGTAATTTGTCAACAGGTGCCACTCCCTCACCCCAGGCCCTGAAGAAATTTTATTGCCAGAATTTGTCTAATGCAGACCCAAACTTCACACAGAGCATCTTCCGATGAGGACCGTTTTAGGTTTGATTATTCACCGAGCATATCAAGTACCTTGTTCCTCTCCCATAGAGGGAAAAAAAAACTATATAACTAACCTGTGTATTAAAATTCTGCTCAAGAGAGGGGGATCAGCATGGGCTCTACTGCTTCTGGGGATAGGGAGAGAGCTCCACAGATAACACAGGAGGAAAGAGAAACTACAAGTATCTTCCTGTAAAATATATGCAGCTAAATTTCTCTGGTGGCTTAATCAGTATGGGAAGAAAAAAAATCCCTCTTTGGGCTCCTTATTATTTATTTAGGCAGATCAAAGGGCTTTTCCATCTAGCTTCAAACACTGTGGGAGTCATTTCAGATCACAAACAATACTGGTGAATGAGTTCTGAAAATAGCTTTCCTGGGAAGGCGGGCCTTGTGCTAAGCGGGGCTTTGGATTCTGCTCCACACCCCAGCCAACATGCTCCCCTCCCACAAAGCAACAGACGTCAGCCCATCCACATAAGGGACAGAGTCCCACAGACTCTTCCATGCTGATGGCAAGCGCAAAACAAAAATCCCCAGCTTCACTGACATTTTGCTGGCTTGGATGGGTTTCCACTAAGCTAAGCAGTCCGACTGACCAACCCCTCCCTGGGTCTTCCGTTTCATTGGGCAGATGGGAATCGGGTTCTTGCTCTCATTTAAACCGGAAGGGCCCTGTCCGTTACCCCATATCCTGTTCTAAGGCACTTATCAGAACTTAGGCTCCTGCCCTTTGAGAGCTGCATAGAAGAGGTTGAAAAAGGTTAGGAAATCAACCTGGGTTAAGGCGAAAAAAAAAATCCTAAACTGGCCAAGTTACGGCTGGAGCGCAAAGTGAATTGCTTCTGGCTATAAAAAAGGACCTGGAGGGGGAAAAAACAACAACAACGAAATACCAGGAAATGCCAGGTGCGTTCTCTTACCTTCACCCTACTCCACCCCCTGACTGCCTTCTCTCCTGAGTCACCCAATGAACTTCAAGCCAAGCGGTTCTTTCCCAAATAAGTGAGAAGGAGACAGGAGGTGAAGAGTCAGGCATCGAAGAGATCACAGGCCTAATCTGGGAAAAGGCTCCCCACCAGGTCCAGGGACTTCAAACCTCACGGTAACCCATAATTACCCATGGTAACAGGGCAGGAGTGCCACACAAAATTGCCATCGTTGTTGGCCATGGTCAAAACCTTCCCCTCTGCCCCATATGCTGAACTCCTACCAATCAGAGACATGGCCCCAACAGTAACAATAGGTACAACAAAGAGAATCATGGCATCATAAGGTCCGGTTGATACAGCAGTGGGACAACGGGCCTCTGAATAATGCAAAAGTACATTTAGGAGTAACTGGACAATATGAAATAGTCCTCCTGAACTAATGACACATGGTAAAGGAGTCGTGGGGCTATGATTCTTTCTGCATTTTAGCATCTGACCGAAAGTTCTATGTGACATGATGTGAGTTTAACTTAGATGGTTCAAAAACGTGACAGGCAACTAACAAACACTCTGCAGAAGAAAGATGAAGCAGTGCAGAGTTCATGAACTGCCAGGACATCCAAGGCAAGTGACATTCTGAACGTGCACATATCCCCCCCGCCAAAGTAATATCTAGGTGTCTAATTTTTAGTGTCCAAAAGAATCATAGGAATTCTGTAGCAAGATTCGTTCCTAAAAAAGTGATGAGAGTTCTGTGGAAGGGAATAACTGAAAGTGATAGGCTACTCCAGATTAAAGTCCAGGAAAACTTGCTTCTGCTCCTCCAGGAAGGGCTTAATAACTCACAAGAAGAGGCACACTGACCCTTCCTTCACAATCCCAGGAGACAGGACAGCATGTAGCTGTAGAAATCAAGACTTGAGTTCCTGTTCATCCACTAGGCATTTGGGGCCATGCTCAACCTATAAAGTCAAGGGAATGTTAATACAGCACTAATTACGGCTGAAGAGGCTAGAAATTCAGGTTGGCAGGAAATTTACTAAGCCAGGGGCCAGCCATGCATTGCAGAGTTTGTTATACCAAACACCTGCCCATTCCTTCCCTTCAGATTCCCAACACACAGCAGAAGCTGGTTGGGTATGAGGCCAGGAAATGACAGAAAGGGAACTCTCTTACCTGGCTGCTCCATACTCAGGGGGATGCTGATACCTCATCAGTTGCCCCTCTGTTCTCCCTGGCTGGTTCAGACGATGCTCACTATAGAAGTGCCCTGGCTCTTGGGGCTTGCACACTACAGACTGGGGTGGCATGCCCTTGAAGGGATACTCTGGTGGGGGGCCTCGGTGTTCCATGCCCTTCAGGCTATGCTGGCTGGGAGGTGGCCCCTGGGCCTTGTAGAATTCACTGGAACTTGTGGGAGTCTTGTAGAGGTCACTGGGTTGTGGTGGGGAGAGGGGAGCGCTGGTGACAGGTGGATGGGCCTTAACTCCACTGGTGGCCAGTGACATCTGCATTAGTCGTTCACTTAAGGAGCGGACATGTCCTTGCTTAAGGTCTCTGAGTCCTTCATCCTGGTGCATCTTCCCAGGATTGAGCCGCTGCACCGATGGGCGTCCCTCGGTCCTCATCTTCTGGTTGGTGACTCCAGTGACATAGAAGGCAGCTCCAACACTGGCATGCTGTTGGCCCCGAAAGTACTGGGATTGGACCTTGGCTTCTTCATAAGTTGGGAGTTCTTCGTTATTCTGCATTCTAGGGGAGAGCTGCTTCTCCATGATGATGTTTTCTGCCTGGATTTCCTGCCCCTGGGGTTCTTGTCGAGCAGCATGAGCCACAAGCTGTTGGTGGTGGTCTTGGGGACTCAACACATCATTCTGAGGGCCTGGATTCCCACTGCTACTGGGGAAAGGAGGGCCATTCCCTGTGGCTTGCTGGTGTATGGCAAGCAGGTTGCGATTCTCATTAGGATTGCCATAGCGAAGCTGCTCTTGTAGCAGACGCTGCAACACTGTGGTTCCTCCACTTGGCTGTTCTTCAGAATTTCTCATCTCTATTGCTGGTGGTGCCTTGTGAAGAGAGAGAGAAATTGGGCACCTGGGCTGCCCTTGACCTGGGAAGGGGAAACAGGAAGCTTAACACCCAGTTGATGGATAAATCATTCCTCTAAAGGGGAAGAAAATGGGTATTTGGGGGTGAGGATTCCACTCCAGAGACAAAGGAGAGAATTGAGTCTAGAATTAATAGGTTAATTGTTGGTGACTCCTGGCTCTAGCATTGATATGAGGAACTTGGGGGCATAAGAGCTCACTGTTTCCTCTTTCGCTTTTAGCATGGGTTAAATATCCAATCTTGACTTAACTTCTAAAAGAACTGGGGAGACCTGGAACAGTCAGGTAGGATGACCAGAGAGGGCAATTCTCCTAGGTCCTTACTCAGAAGGTTCATCTCTCTGTATTCTATTTAAATGAAAAATCCAACTCTTATGGCCGTGACACTGGGGGCAGGCCAGTAGGGAGAATTTACCCCACAGGCAGGATCTGTAAAGCAGGTCATCATGTGAAGGGAGCTACAAAATGCCAAATAATAACTAAAATAAATAAGAGGTGAAGAGAGCTTGGCTTGCACTGAGTAGAAATGATCCCCGCTTGACGCAAATGGTTTTCTCTGATCTCATAAAACTCTAAAACATAGCTTTTTCTTAAAAAAAAAAAAAATCCTTTTTGTATTGTCCATTTTGGATTCTCCTTGGCTTAATAAGAGAAGGGCTTGAGATAACTGCTATTGACAAAATTTCTCTTTCAGCCATCCAGGAATAGTCATTGAGGTTTTTTTTTGGTTTTTTTTTTTTGGTGTTGTTGTTGGCTAGGAGGAGCTTAAATGGGAAGCCCTCTTTCATTTGAAGTGTGCCTCTGACAGCATTTAGAAATTGAAAAAGAAAAAAGGTCATCCTTCTAGAAAGGGTACGATTACCGTATCCCTCCCCCTCCACCACCACCACCACTAATTCTTCTTAAGGAAGAAATATGGGTTGAGTGAAACAGGTATTGGTAGTAAGACAACTCAAGGTTCAAATTCTAATCATGATAATGGATTTATAGGGTAACCTAAGCAACTGATTCCTCTTTTCTTGTCTTCTATTTTCTCACCTGAGAAACTAGTAGTAGGTGACATCTCTATTTCTCTCTCTCTCTCTCTGCAGGGTATAGGACACACAAATTCATCAGAGGCTCATAAACTCTTTGGACAGAATCTGTCATGTGAAGTACTGCAATTCAACACTCATGTTCAGTAATGAAAGTTTCACTCTAAGGATCTTAAGTGGTGTTGGAGCATGGGCATGATGTCACAGAAAAAGTCACAGTAAAGGTCAACCTAACCAGCCTCAGGTTCTTAGATGAGAACTCTGGAATCCTGGTTCCCGGGCTCTGATTTCTATGATATCAAACAGCCTCCAATCTCTCTGGAAACATGATCCCTTTCCTTTAGTCGTGCAGGGAATGGCCAGAAGATGTGTATGGTGGATAGAAAATGGTCATCTTCTCTTCTTTTTTGCACTTCTTGCATGATTACTGCTACCTGGTTTCCAATTGTTCTAAGGAGCAGTTTGACCCCACAGTTAACCTTCCAAAGGCCCTTTTTAAATCCCATTCATCATATTCTCTGGGGAAAGGGTGCACCAAAGGGCCGAGCAGCCTGCCCTTTCCCTCCCTCCCTCCCAGTGACCATCTGGGACTCCTGGATTTAAACTGTCAGACTGGGATTTTCTGATAGGCTGACAAACATAACATGTAAATCTCTTTTGGTGCCTTTAAACTGGGAAGATGACTACCAAACTACCTTTCCTCTCTCAGAAAATGGAAACGGGAGCATGTATGGTTAAACAAAATCACTTGCAAACCCATCCTACCAGGCAGGGAAACCCAGACATTGAGCGGCCCCGGACCCTGAAAGTACACCACCCCCTCCCAGTCCACACCCGCCCCACCCTGCACACACACATACGCTCACACGCACACACAGGCGTGCACGTGTGTGTGCGTGCACGCGCGCACACACACACACGCTCACACACACACACACACACACACACACAGATGGTGCATACCTATTTCTGCTTTCTTTTAGGCTTAAAGCCTTGATCAGGATAGGGAATTCTTGCTTATGAGCAGCTCCAGAAACCGCAACGGCAGATTCCCTCTCCCCTAACACTCAGGTTCAGGGTAAGCGCCGCCAAGAGTCCAACCACTGGTCACTCTGAAATGTTCAGGAGGGGGAGGGAGGAAGAAATAAAAACGTCGTTTCTATTTTGCCACCAATGGCCAAAAGTTCACCAAACCAGTCCTTCCAAGGGAATGACTTCTCCTCCCGTATGTTTGCCTTTTATGTGAGTGGCAGAATCCATCTCCATTAGGACAAAAAGAAACCTCACTACCAGCAGCTGTGTTCAGGAGATCAGCCATTTTCCAGAGGATGGAAATGTTCAGGTCTGGGACTGGAAAAGATTGCTCTGTTCTAGCCTCATGGCCCCCAAAAGCTGCTGCTTCCACTCTGAGTTGGAATGGTGGCTGAGGACAAAAGACAGACCCAACGTCACCTGTAGGGTGTGACCTTGAAACTGCTATCAGCAGGGGGGCACATGAGTGAGGCTCATGGCCCCACATCCCAGGAGGGAAGGCAGTCATCAGAAGGCAGGTTTTTGATTAAAAAAAAAGGGGGGGATACTCTATGAAGCTCCCAATTTAACTGCCACAGCCTCAGATGGGCAGAGGAAAACCAAAACTTCTTTTCCACCAAATCATTAAGTAGTTATTGCATGCTGGCTATTCCAGACGTTCGCCAGCCTCGTGCCAGACACAAGGAAGGATACAAAAGACACACATCTGGTTCCTACCCTCACAGAGCTTACAATCTGATTGCCGGCCGGTCCATTCTTACTGGAGTAGCAAAGGTGATCGCTCTTCTCAACACACAGCAGCAACTCTTCTCCAAGGACAAGATGCCTCCCTCCACTTGCTTTCTCAGCACTTCCATGGCCCCGGCATCTCCCCAGAAGTAAACTCCTAGGCTCACATTATAAGGGCTAGATGCAAATGCCCACCACGTATGGATTTGCGATAGTCCTCATTTCTAATTACTGCGTTGGCCCTCTGATGAGCCCTGCAGGGCCAACCAAAATGATTATGAACTGAGGAGTTTGTGTTTAGGTGAGATGCACATGATCCACATTCCTATTTTCTGTCCCAGCCTAGCCATGACTCACTCATGTCACTTGAAAGAAAGGCTTTAATCCACATCAGAGATGCCATTTGAAGAGCAAGGCAATGCAAAGGAAGCACACAGCGTCTCTGTATTTTGGGAGCCTGTCCAAAACATCCAAGTTAAAAAAAAATCCACAAAACCACACAGTGATTAATTTAACATTATTTCCTTGCAATGTTGCCAAAAATAAAGTGAAGAGATACAGAGTGAGCAAACACGGAAATCTGTCTTTCAATCTTGTTTGGGCCCAACATATAATCACAATCAAAAGCAAAATCATCTCCAATCTGCAAGGTAATTATTTTAGGGGGTCTTCCCTAATTTCAAAGCAGAGGAACAACTTCTAGTTGGAATCAAAGCTGAACTATTAACAGAGTGTGGTAAATAACCACCGTGCTTCTATTGTGCGATTCTGAACAAAACAGTTCTTTTTTTTTTTTTCAACCAAAACATGCAGAAAACAGCCTGAGGCCTTTAAACTTGAGCCCCTGGCGAGAAAGCACCATACAATTATTTTCCAGGACGATTTCGATTCTTCATGCCGATTTTGACTGGCTTGCTCCTCATACCTAGCTTCTCACAAAGAAAACTTTCCTTGTCCAAAATCTTACTCTCTTCCCTTAATTTTGTCCCCTCTCGTCCATATCCTTTTCAAAACCCAAATCACTTTATGTCAACCGGACACAGATTGTCCCTCCCCACCACCCCGCCCCCTGGCCTTTTTTGTTTCTGTCTAAAAGAGGAAAAGAAATCAGCCTAAGAAAAAAAGCTGTGCTGATTCCTCTCCAGTGTACTGATTTTTTTTTTCTTCAAGAACTTATGTTCGTCTACATGTTAAGAGTCACATAAGAAGGAAAACACTACTCCATTTATTTATTAGAGAAAGGAAGGGAAAAGATTCCTTGTCTCATGCGCAAGAACTAAAATAGTATGAACTCTGCAACCTTCAATCTGCCCGCAGCTTTAATCACGCCACTGCCAGGGTTCTGACGTCATCTTCAATCAATAAAATAACTTTGTTTCTCCTGGACAAACAGACTGTCCCCGAGGATATTTGATATGGGAAGAAAGGCTTTCCAATGGTTCTCTCTTTAAAAATACAATTTGAATCTATATATTCAACTCTGCTGTTAACAACAACAGGGCAGCAAGGCCAAGCTAAATTCTTACTGTATCTGCAGTCATTGGCCTCTCCCAGTATACCTCGGTCAAACCCAGTTCTGGTTGAACCAAAACACATGAGTGAGAGCCCAGATGTTTCTCAAGCCACGTCCCAGAAAAAGCAACATTACAAGGTGGCCAGGGTAGACCAAATTCCTACCCTTCAAATAAATTTTGAAATATGCCTGTAAGATTTTCTTTCTATCCCTTCCACCTCCTCTCCCTATTCTTCCCCCAACCTTCACTCCACCAACCAAGATGAAGAACCTAAGTCTAGGAAACCTGTGTCTCTGCTAAATCTCAGTCAACTTGTTCTGGACAGTTCTACTTTGAGCTAAATGTAAAGGAGCCAGTTCAAAGTTTCCCCTATGTCTACATATCTACGTGCATATATTTGTGCAGAAAACACACACACCACACATGCGCGCACACACACACACACACGCAAAACCTCCCACACAAAGAGAGAGGCAAAAAAGCCCTCTAAATTCTCTCGTGTCTCCTCAGGTTGGTCCAGGTTTTGGCCTGAAGTGTCCTAGAGAACACCTTGCCCAACAGTCTTGCAACCCAGGATACTAATTCATTTCCTCTGGGAGGTAAGAAATAATAATCCCTTTGCAGGTTATCTCTAACCTTTCAATGCATGATGGGCAGAGAGTATAAACGCTATGGTTAAGGGCCTGGGCCTAGATTCACACTGCTTAAGTTCAAATCCTGGATCTATGGCTTATTAGCTGGCCTCATACATTTCTTCTGACCTCCTTAAATCTCATTTCATCATTTTCAAGATAGGGATAGCAGTGCCCATACCTCACAATGTTGTTATAAAGATTAAGGGAGGTAACTCATGTAAAGTGCTAAGCACAGAGCCTGGCACAAAGTAAAGGCTCAATAAAATCTATTAATATTATTATTTCAAAGTGGCTTTTTTTTCCCTAGAAGACTACAGCAAATTTATGAATTAAGGTTTTCTTTAAAACCTTTATCTACAACTCAGTCTTTGTGCAGGGGTTCTCAGATCAGCGAAGGCCAGAACTAGAAAGACTCTAAGGAGACCATCTAGTGATCCAACCCCCTCTTTCTGTATATGAAGGTACAAGAGCTTAACAAGGGTCAGAGCCTGGGCCAGAATGCAGGTTTTATGACTCCCAGGGCAATAGTCCTTCCACTCTAATATATTATCTAGCATATTAGTGTAACATAGAAGATGCTTAATAAACATTTATTGAATTGAACTGACTCTGGTTTTAATAGACTATAAACCTGGCTCAATGTTACCACCAATTTTCCAATTCCATCCGAAGTCAAATGTTAACAGCAGGAGGAAAAATTCAAAGAGGTAAGAGAGAGAGATGTGTGTAGGTAGAAGCATGGCAGAAGGCCCTTGCAAAATCTTTCTTCTTTAGGTCAAGATTTGTAGGTGGGATGGAGAGTAACATGAACCTCCACTGATCAATGTCTCCAGGCCCATGTTCTTGGTCCTGCCAACATCAAACCAACTTGGAACTTGCCCTTATGTAAGTCCAGTGCTAAGAAAAGGCTTTGAGTTGGTCCCACCTCTTTGCTTCTAGCTCTACCTCTATCTAGATTATGTTGGAAGATTATTTTAAGAACCACAGCAAGGCCTTGGCATTTCCAAATCTTACTGACAATCAGTGTCAGGTACCTGTTTCTGAGATGGTTAACTCAAAGGTGTGGCCAACTGGATCCCAGTTCTACTTTTCTGTACTCTAAAGCAATTAACTTGAACATGTTAATAGGCAACAAAGGTGATTAACCCTGAAGTGTACATGAACAGTGACATACTGAGTAACAAGAAGAATCCTGTTGCCACCACCACACCACCTCCCTCCACACACACCCATTCCAAGGGAGGAAGAGGGCATGTCATGACATCCCATTTCTCCTTACCTCAGAAAAAGGAAAAGCAGTCCATGAAATCAGACTGAGCATAACCTGAGAAAACTTTAGGAATATACCTAGAAGATGCCTGCTTTACCAATTTCCTATCTTCGATGCCATACTACTCACTTTTATTTTTGTTTCTACTTTTACAAATAATATAAACACAACGTGCAAATATTTATAATGAAGAGGAAAAAAATCGCTCAAGGTCCCAGCACCTCAACCTAAACGTTGTTACCAATAAAGAATATTTCCTTCAGTTGTTTCTATGTGTATTTGTGTTTTTACAAAGCCATGAAATATTGACATATGTACAATTTTGGATCCTATGTTTCACTTCCTCATAAGCACTTTCTCCATGGTATAGACTGTGGTGTAGACTTCATAACAAACATTGCAATGACTGTGTCATAGTCCGTGACAGGAGTGTATCAAGACTCACTTACCCATTCTCCAATTATTAAGACATTTAAATTGCTTTCAATTTTGTGCTAGTCTAAATAATGTTACAAAAACATCTTTAAGACTTAGCCCTTTTCGATATTTTGGATTGTTTCCTAATGATAGAATCCCACAAGTGAAATCAATGGGTCAAGGTGCACGAATGTTTTTAGACGGCCCACTAAAAAAATAAAAGTAGCAAAACACCAAAGCCCCATGAAATCTCTCCTTCATTTAATGAAGAGTTCTCCTCTCCCATTTTTCCACCAGGGCAGAGCAGGACTCCTGGGAGGGAAAAAAGCCAAGAGAAGCAGTGTAGTATCCCAGCGACTTGTGAAATGGCAGAGTGGAATGTGGGCTCCCCTGTGAATCCAGCTTGCATGCACTTGCCCCAAATTGCCACCCGGCCAAGAAGCTAATTAGTAAAAGCATCAGGTGGGTGAGAACAGGTTCATGGCCTGTAATGGCTTATATCATGTTTCATTTTTGCCCTTGGAAAGATCTGACAGTCAGCTTGAAGACATTCAGTTCTAGTGACCCAGCATGCTACAGTCTGAGAATTAAATTTGTTAGTTTTCAGATACCAATCTTCCCTATATCTTAAAGGGTATCTTTCTGTTTAGAACTAAGCATACATGACCAATGAGCCTCTGTTTTCAGCCACAGGTAAGGTGGCACATTTAAGGTCAGCCCTGTTTAATGTTATATGACTAAGTGGCACCTGTCTGAAATGGTCAATGTGTTATAGACAGAGGTTTATTTGCAGACCCAGCTGTAAAAGTCATCCAGTCCTAAGCAGAGAAGGCAACGGGCCAGAGATGCCCTGGCTTAGCAAGAGCAGACCCAACAGGCATTTCTTTCCTGGGCTGCTTAGTCAGAGCCCTCAGAAGAGGCCAGGTCCACATGCCACCTTCCCCTTGAAGGTTTTTCTCTAATCCTCCTCCATCTTCCCTCTGCCCCCAACTCGGCCCAATATGGAAAACTAATTCTCTCTTGTTGGTGTTGCCACTGGACTTTGTACACAGCTCGACTGCAGGACTGTCACACACACGATGTAGTTTCCACAAACTTTTACTGACCGTTTGCTGTAGCCAGGCATTGGCTAGGCCCTAGGGTGGATAAAAAAGAGAAATAAACCACAGTCCAGTCCTCATGAAGCTCCCAGTCGAGCAGAGTGGGGACAATCCAATGGGAAGCTCTGGCAATGCAGAGGACCCTGCCAAAAACTCTGGGCCACCTGAGCAAAGCTTCCCAGAGGAAAAGACCATTAAGCTGAATAGGAGACATCTGATAACCAACTTGATGTTGGGGAAGTTGGAAAGGGAGGAGCCTAAGATAGGATGAGATAGATCTTTGGGAGTCATTAGCATACGGATAACAGGTAAGGTCAAAGAGTGGGCTAGAACATGTAGGGCGGGAGCAGAACAGAACCAAGGATGAAACTAAGGACGGACCCTCGGGAGAAACCATCATTCAAGGGTCAGGTACTTTGCAAATGTGGTAGTGAGAGAGAAATTTCTTTATTTACCCCAGTGCCTTGCCCACCCCGCCTCCCATACCTTCAATCTAGATGTTGGAATACATGCTCCAGGGACAGAAGTCCGCAGTTACAATGCAGAGAGGAAGACGGAGAGAGAGAAAGAGAGAAGTTAATTTTGTATCCTAAGCTTCTAAGTACCAAGGCAGAAATCGCTCTAATAGTTTGAGCCAGAAATGGAAGATCTTAGAGATCACCGGCTGGGTGCATGATTTCCCTCTGTATCCTTCCCAACACCTACAACATTAACTGGCACCTGGAATACCCAGAAGAACTGCATATTGCATATTGAGTAAATCACAACTCCCCAAAGACTTTGCTGGAAGCAACAGAAAGAGAAGACAAGGGATGAAAGACATGGAATAGCAAGAACAATAATTCTGTTACCTTTAGTTTCTCAGCTTTTCTTCTAAGGAGACAAAACCTCTTTCACTTCTGTTATCCTACTTGTCCTTCTCCACCGCTCTGTGAGGAAATAAAGGCAGATGTGATTGATTCCATTTCACAACTGGAGAAGGCTTTAAGCCCAGAACAGATAGCTAATGATAACTCATTTGACCAAGGTTTCACCGTGGCTTACTTGTGGGGCCAGGATCAGAACCTAGGTCTGATGACTTCCTGCCCTCTGCAGGGTTACCAGACACAAACCTCTGTGGACCTGACTCTCCATTTTTTAAGAGGACAGTTCACAAGAGAAACTCGTTAGGAACGCGAAATTCTCTCAGGACTCTACCGTATCTTGAGCAAGCCAGTGCGCTGCACCCTTAAGAAAAAACCTAAGACGTTTTCCCGTATCGACACTGGAGCGGTGAGGTGTAATTTGCAGTGATGCTGCGCTAACATAATTGGGAGTTCCCTGTGCTGCTCTACCCCTTTTGAAGGGAGCCCCATCTGCCTTCAGTCTGGTTTTTGTGTCTGAGTGGGGCTCAGGTGCTGACTGCAGGTGTGGCATCCAGCAGGTGCATGGACGGGAGCCAGAGTTTCATATCTTCATACCAAAGGGCTTGAGTCACTCCCCAAAGGCAGCCCCTCCTCCTCACACTGACTTGCAAGCCCCAGGAACCTGTCTTGACCGAGTTGCCATTGCAAAACTAAACCTAGACTCTGCCTTCCCAGGAAGGCCTAGGGTAAAATCAGTTAAAGTACAAATCTTATAACCCAGCCAACTTTCCCACTCTCTGAAACTAGGGTAGGCATATGCTGCAGGCATAGCATCAGGGGATATATGTACAGAATGACTGTTCCCTACTAGCTATGGAGAAAAGGAGGACCACAGCAGGCCCATATTATGTGTTTAGTACTTATTCTATTGCAGATGGCCCTGAAACCTCATGTGTAAGTATTCATTCCTCTAAAAAACACAGAGTACAGTAGAAAGAACGCACTAGGAATCCTGGACTCCAGTTGCCATCGTGACCAGTCTCCTCCAGGCTGCCAAGAGACAACCACTTAGCCTAGTCACAAAAAGTACCAGGTCAAAAAAGTCATCACATTGCCCTCATGGAAGCCCAACTGAGAGCCTGGGGCAGAAAGAATGCTCTTTGGGGATAGAGGGGGTCATCCAAATTTCCTTAGCTGCAAAACTTGTTTGCTTTTAAAAAAACAATTTGCCCCCCACCAAAGACACACACACACACACACACACACACACACGAGCAAAGAGAAACTAATTGCAGGAAAAGAAAAACCCAAATGTTACCTTAATAAAATGGCTTATTGTCATTCATCATATTTTTCCAGTTCATATGGAAGACTCAAATTAATAAGCTTTGGTTTACAGCCGGTGATCCCAAAAGTAAAACTGGTTACTAAACTAAAATGTGATCACTGTATATAAACAGAGTGAAACAAAATTCTGAAGTGAAAACCTAAATGTAATAAAGAGGAAATTAGACTTCTTCAAAATAGGCTATCTAATAATTTTCCCCATCTGTGAATTTTATCTTAGTTTGCTGTCACATGGAAAGAAATGCCATTAAGTCAATGCAAATCCTGCCCCTTGAAAACAACCAAAATGAGTAAGTGATGTACTAATTAGCTTCCTAATGGGGAAGGTTTTAATTGAACTATTCTATAACAACCTTCATCAAAGTTTCCAGGGCAACTTCATAAAAGGATGTCAAACCTGGCCCATATTTTTATCCCCTTAAAAATAATTCTTGATGCACAGAAACACAGAAAGCTTATTTCTCTTCAATGCTGTTAACACTCAGGCCACTACATTTTCTGATGTCAGCAATCCCCTTCCCACAAATATTCCAAGTATGCACCACCGTCATTCTCCTTTCAATTATGTGGTTTCTCTGCTCCTTTACTGATTGAGTCCAGGCCTCTCGGATAATGAGAAGCATGTGCAGGGAAAATATGCTCTTAAAAAACACATACATCAGTTTCATCTGCATTATTGGGGGGGAGATCATTTGTCCATATCAAAAAGATCAAAATGTGAAGTTTGCTATGGGATATATAAAGGAAAAAAAAGATCAGCACCAATGCCTAAAGTTGGGGGGCAGTTATGGTGATCTGAAGCAACACCAGTAAGAATAAGGGAGACCCCCCAAAATCCACCCTTTCTAGCTTGGCCACATGTATATTTAATGTTATCTTAATGTTGCTTTGGGGGGTATTTGAGTTCTGACATACACATGGAAATGAGCCACGAATTGTACAGCAAGCATAAATATTCCATCATTAATAAAAACCAGCTGTGTATAAAACACTACAACGGCTGGGTTTCAGTGACTGGCTATCATCAGTATGTGTCACAAGCAAATATTACTCAAACCTTTCTCCCTTAAAACACACACACACATTCACATACACAGACACACGCAGAAATTTGTTGTACTCTTTTTAATCTTTTGGAAGAGCTTTGAAGAACTCACTGATCTCTATGGCACATTTCAACTAATGTCTCTTTTCGAAGCAATTTTTCATCACCCTGGAAGATGCTAGAGTCCTCTTATTAGAACTTCAGTTTACCACATAGAATGAAAATGTTTAATTGTTTTTTAAGAGCCAAGAGGGTCAATAATACAAATGTTGGGATGATCAGTTATAGTCAGTAAGGCAATGGGGCACCAAAGGGCGCTGCAGGCTATAAGAGAGCAAAGCTCATTAAAAGCAAACACCTGCTCAGGACCTTATAATAAACCTGCTCTGCCATCATGCAAACACCTTTCATCCAATGACCTCGAAGCATGTGTCCAATATGAAGCATGCCCAACCACCTCTGTGAAGTATTAATATCTCTGCTTCCCAGAAGGGTAACTGAAGCTCAGAGCAGCTAATTCATTTATGCTTGGTCACATGGCAAGTCAAAGAGGGTTGGGCACAGAAACCCAGATCCTGGCTTCAAGTCACACAGTCTAACGATATTTCATGGAGTTGGGGCAATAATGAAAGTGACTTTACAAACATCAAGAGCAGCCTATAGCGTTAAAAAAAAAAAAAAAAGGAGATTTTCAAAAACTAGCTTCGGAGGTATTAGCAAATATATCCATCTGCATTTTCCCCATGAATACATATCATAAAAAATGTACTTAACTTGGAGCTTTCTAAGGACTAAAAACCCATACTTCACTTTCCTATTCTGGTTAAAGAAATTTAATCTAATTTACGATGAGCCACTGGTTTCCAGGAATGAATTCATCCAAAATGGAGATCATATGTATATTATACCTTCTCTTTTTCAAAGGAAAATTAAAAGACCGGGTAACTGAACTCCCACTGTACAGGGAAGGCCTCAAATGAAGAACCCATTATGTGTGGGTCATTCTGCCACACCTATACCTCTTTAATTGTCTCAAATCCTTAGTTTCCTTACTATTTTTTAGTCTAATTTTCAACATTATTTTCAAAGCCATGAAACAGAACATTTGTGCTTTCCCGCTTTTCCTTTCTCATTGGGGAAATTTTATAGTCTACTCAAACTTGTACTTTCTTGATGGGATATCATGATACAGTGATTTAAGAATCCATTGCTAATGGTTTAGACAAGGTAAACAGTGGAACCTAGTTTTCTTTTTTGCTTAAATAGAATGGGGGAGGGGTAACAGGAGGTCAAGGGAGTGGACTGAACAGCCTTGCTAGATACGTGAACACCCTTAAATCACAGAAAGGGTTAGGGATTACTTACTAAATCTAGAGACTAATTAAATATTAGTCTCTCTTGGCATTCGAGGAACATACATACATGATTCTTCATGCATACTCAGTCAGGTTCTCATTTCATTCTTCCCCACAGGTTTACAAAGCTAAGTCTTAGGTGAGCACTTAGTTAAAAGAAACTTTGTAAATTTCTGTGACCCACCCCCAACTATGTAAAGGAACTAGGAAAAATGAAAGTGGGTGATCCGTTAGAACGATGGGATTCTTGATGAAGTTTTGGGCAGGATCCTAGCTTTTTAATTTGATATGTTGTTAAAACACAAAACACAATGCATTTATATTGATATATCTTTCTAGGCTTTTTTTTTTTTTTAACATCCAGATTATTACATGATTGTATTTCTAACAATTGTCGCACCTCATTCTAGTAGGAATCATTCACATTCACATCACAAGTAGAGGTCTAGGAAGGGAAGCATAAACTTTTGAGAAATGGTTCTCAAAATCACCCTGTCCAATTTCTCACAATTTACAGAGGAGGACCTGCCAAGGGTGGTAAACTAAGTTAGAGGTGGGCCTAGAGCCCAGGTCCCATTCACCAATAATAGGCTCACTAGGAAAGCTTATTATAGATTCTTCTACTAAAAATGGCATTAGTTGCTGTTATTTACCAGAAACAATTTTCTGGATCCTGGGATTATTCAAATACAATAACTAGAATTAAATTTTGTAACCTATGTGGGGTAGACAGTCCCATCCTTAGACTTATCGAAATCTGTGAAGTCTGATTTATCTCCAGAAAGTCATACTAGCTCCCTTCTACAAGTGGTTGTAGGCTGAAGCTAAACGTGGCCAGCATTATTACAAGCCAGAATGATTTAGACAATTAACTCCATCCCATATAACAAAAAGATTTCAAAGGCCAAATAATGGCCTCACTTAATTCAAGCTATAATCATTACAACAAAATTCTAATGTCTTCCTTTATGCAATAAATATGTTTCTGAGAAGGCCCAGTTATAGTGAATTTTTATATATCAAGTCATAGCTCAAAGGCACGAACTAGGAAAGCTAGTTTTTCCAAAGAAACCTGTAGTGGGTTCTTTTAGAAAGCAAGTGACCTCCTTATTTTCCTTTTTTTTTTTCAGTTCAGATTTTGTGTGTTGTGTGAGGAAGGGGCAACTTCCCTCCTTTCTCTGGGTTCAAGGGGGTCAGAAGCTGACCATGGAGGAGAGTGGTGCAGGGTGGGCAGCCTGTTTTAATGCCCCCTTAGGTCCTGGGACCAAATTCTAACCTTTGACTTGGGGGTGGGACCCTAGATTTTGGACCAAAGTCCACAAAAGGCAGCAAGGAATGAAGAAGTAAGCAAGACTGAGGACAACACGTCATAGAAAACCACCAACAAAAATTCCTGGGGACAGGAAATCAATGGAGCACAATTCTGAACAAATTGGTTTAGTCCCAAGCTAATTAATTTGTCAAGCAGATCTCCAAACCCACTGAATCCATGGGGGAAAGAGGTGATGTAATAGGAGATTGGGGAACATTTACCCATTTACCATCTTAAAAGGCTCAGCCACGACCACACACACCTCTCTCCACCCCTTTCAGTGGGTTTTAGCTGCACTTAATGGGTGCAAAGGACAATTTCTTCCAGACAGTCCCTAAGAATAGACTGTTCTCATGCATTCCAAATGCTCAGTCTCCATGGAGGAGGCTACCTGGTCACAAGCATTTCCCAAGAGGGAATATATCCTCTACTTCGCCTCACTGGTAACATCCCCTCCACCCCAACAAAACAAAACAACTTCTAACCATCCTGAGAACTTCGAGGGACTTTTTGGGGGTAAAGGAAAAGAAACCTTAAGAGGGGCGTAGAAGAGTGTGAGAAACTCCTCTTGTCTCCAAATGGAAAAAAAGGCCTTAAAAAGCTGGATCAAAGGAAGAAAGGGGGATGGGGGAGACAGGCTGCTTAATTACAAAGACACCCTTTTAAAGAAGGCACAGGCCCTGGGAGAGGGCTCTTAGGATAGGCACAGAAGCAGATGTACCCACTTAGCATTCTGGCACTCAATGGGACCTCAAGGTCATAGCATCCATCCCTCTGCGTTCTGAATAGAAAGTTTTTAAGGGCATTCTAGAAAGAGTCTCATTCGCTCTTTACAAAACTTCAGAAAAAGCAACTCCACAAAATGCCTTGGGTATGCATCTGTCTAATAATTCCTACTTCACAAACCAGAAATGAGCTTTCAATTTCCAAATCCAAAATAGTATTGAAAAATAATTTTAAAATTTCCTTCTAAAATCTTTTAAAATAGGTAAGCAGATCCACAACTTGCACGTAAAAGTTACTCTACATACAAGCATGGCCAGAGGTTTTACTGCATATCTAGACCATGAAGTTAGAAAAAGCACTTTCAATTTTACAGAGCCACACAGTTTTCCAAAGAAAGAAGTATCTTAAAATGAAGTATGATGTAGTGACAGAAAGTGTCTGTAAATGACACCGGATATACCCATACAGAATAACTGGAACCTGAGTTATCATCTGTAAATACTCTACAACCACCTGGCTATTAAAATGTCCCAGGCCAGTTATAAAATGTAGTTTGGTCAGGCCAACTTTTCCCTCCCAGCTGATCTGAAAGACGATAGCCTTTAAAATTGTCGCCCTGGCCGGTTCCTTCTCTCCCTTCCTGCTTTCCTTTCCCCCGTTAAAATCAACCAACACAACTATTTAAAAATGTAAGTAAATAATTTGTTCCCAAATAAGCAATGGGTTGGTGACATCTTGATAACAGGTCTTTGAGTACCACCACCCTTCTCATTTTGCCATGCTCGCCCAGTTGGAGATAGGTGGGGAGATGGGTGAAAATTTATCCCGCATCCAAAATGGTATTGCAAAGTACTCTTAGCTACTAAATGAGGGTGCGGAAAGGTCTAACCGAGAAGGCTTCACAAAGGCTGGCCCGAGAAAGGGCTTTTCACAAAACCTAGTTCAAGGAGACTTAAATAACCTTAGCCCTCCATTATTGAAGATTATGGTGACTAATTATCTTCCTCTCTGAATAGAAGAGGGTTATATTAAAAAAAAAAGTTTTAAATGCCTCCCAACTTCTAGTCTTAACGTGGGGGTGGGGGACGGGAGGAGGTTAGGAGAACTACATCAGAAACAACTCTCCAGTCTAAACTACATGCTAGAGATTGAAAATGCTGTTTCTCACAAACATCCCCTTTCCTCTCTCATTTAATTGTATCTAGTCCCTTGCTGCAGATTATTATTACACTACTATTAGTGGCAATTTACCAGACTACAAAGACTGTCACTCTCCCTCTCACTTTTCCTTTTCTTTGTTTTCATGTATCGATAAAATCCATCTTGCTGTTGAAGCACCAGTATACAGTGACCCAGGCTTGGGACCCTCAAGACACCTGCATGATCTTGCAAAACTGGTCACTAACATCTATAAAGCAGATACTGGGCAATCCCGTCCTCACCACATACACACACACATAGACCCAAAAAAAGTGTAGCATTGTAGATTACTCCCAGACTTCAGGACTTCAAGAATTCACAGCCCCCGGGGGAGGGCAGTGTGAGCCCCCACCCCAACTCTAAGCATTCAAGGAGGAACGTATCTAGCAATCTGAGATAAGCGCAGACATTCCTTCTAGGTAAATGTAGACCTGAAGTTCCCTCGCTCCTTTTGTGCTTAATTACCTAGAGACCTACAAGGACCCCAGGAGGCAAGGAAGTAGAAGTACCATCAAGTAGTGGTACCCACTAGCATCTCTGTAGGACGGGAAAGGAGCGCACACTCTTTAACCGATTTAAGTTGCTGCTCCTCCCGGAAAACTCACGGCCAGCTGCAAAGAAAGTAGAACACACGGGCATCCCCACACGCATCTAGATCGACTCACTCACGCCGAGGGCACGATCAAGTTCATGCCACCATGGATTCCTGCCCCAGTTCCCCGCGAAAAGTAACCATGCGTCTCCTACCCCTGAAGGCACCGAAGACAAGGTGACGACTCTCTGCTCGCTCAAGTGGCTTCAGTCCCGGGCCGGAGGCCAGGGATGGGCAGGGGGAAGCCCCAACTCCCCGCTGCTCCGCTCCTCGCCGCTCCGTCCGGGCTCTCCTTGGTGGCAGTGGACAGGCAGGATACCGGGCCGGAGGGTGGAGCAGCGGATGGTCGGAGGCAAGACAGGCTGGAGGTGGGGGTGGAGGGGGCGGTGAGAACTAAGCGAAGATGAGGCGAAAGAGAGCGGAGATGGAGGAATAAATCAGGGGGTCTACCAGCTTGGGCAGCCAGAAAGCTCCTCAGAAGGAAGGGGCGTGACTGCGATGAAGGCAGCTCCTGGGCAAAGGATGGGAGGTAGGGGAGGGGGACGAATGGGTGGCTTTTCTTCTTGCGGTGAGCGGCTAGGACCGCCCCGGAGCGGGGGGTGGACTAGAGAGTGGGGCGGAGTAGAGGGCGGGGAACGGAGGGAGGGAGCCGGCC